CGATGGAAAATGGATAAAGATTTAAAGGGGAGGAATGAATTTTTTTTCTTCGAAGATTCGCTTAGAAGATTGAAAAAATTTTCTCGACTTCGCGATTCTACCCGTAACCGTTTTATTATAGCTTTAAATGGATTCGCGAAAGACTAATGCCAATTTTTCAAAGAGGAATGTAATTTTTCATCGGATTCGAAGAAATCTGCGAAGCTGCGATTCCGCAAGCAACGACGTCAGAGAGAGAGAGAGAGAGAGAGAGAGAGAGAGAGAGAGAAAGAGAGAGGGATTTTCGTAGTGGATGACAAATGGCCGTGATGTCGCGGAGAACACGTATTTCACCGATAATAACTTGTCGCCGGTCTTTCAGAAGGATGCGTGCAATTACGAGCGACACGAGCTACGACAGAGACCACTCACCTATGAACATTTCTGCTAAAAGGACCTTCCGATGTAGGATTTTCTTGAATTATGCTTGAATAAATAAAATAAACATCCCGATAAAATCGTTTCCAGAATTTTATCCCGATACATATCCTTGCGAAGCGAAGGAAAGAAAGAAAGCGTCGCCTAAATGGTCGTTCTAAGCGAAATGAATCGCGAAAAGTTGGCAAAATTTATGCAAAATAATTCCATATCGGATGGTTCGAGATGAGGGCAGCCGTCGCGCTCTTTATGACACACGAGATATACCTCATTACGTCGAATGACGTTTCCAGGTCACCTTCGAGTCGCTTCGAGTCTTTCAACTCGAGCAAATAAGAATTCGATGACCCAAATTATACCGAACAACCCTGAGAAAATTTCTCGTTCGAAAATCCCCTCCCTCCCAAATTCGACCCAATTAATCGGGCCAATAATACATCATCGATATCGAACACCCGTTAGTCCCCAAAGAACAAATCCCCCCCCTTCTTTCTAACCATTAACTCTAACGATTCATTCCTACGATTCTAGTCAATGGTCTAACCTTCGAAGTCGAGGCGAAGGTGAAGAAAATCTCGAGGTCGCGTGTATCGTCAACCCGCGCGATGTCAACCCGACACTCCCCTCTCCCCGACGAAAATGTCGTCGTTCCTCCTCCTCCTCCTCCTCCTCCATCACCACCACCATAGCGAAGTCGATCCGCCCACGCGGTTGCGTGCAGCCACCCACGCGGTGAACGTGGACGCGTAACGACCGGCGACGATTCTCACGGGAAGGCGTGCGCGTATTCAAATGACGCTCGGCTCGCGCTCGTCCGCGGCAAACTCCGTGTCGCACGGATCCGCCTAATTACCCCGCTGCTGAACATCGCCAACGAACATTCGACACATATACGTGGCCGGGGAACATCGCCAATAATTTCCGCTCTCGCGGTGCACGCGCAACTTTATACATCTTTTTAAAGAAACAGTACGTCGGAGAGGAGAGTAGAGAGACAGAGAGAGATCCCTCCCTGAGCAGGGTCGCAGCTCGCGACGTAGCCCGAGGCTGTCTTCTCTCGCTGGCTGTCCATTTTTCACCAGTATCCCTCTCTCTCTTTCTCTCTCTTTCTGTCTTTCTCTCCATCCTTTTTTCCTCCTTTTAATTCCATCTCCTCCTTTTTCTCCTTTTAATCTCTCTCTCTCTCTCTCTCTCTCTCTCTCTCTCTCTCTCTCTCTCTCTCTTTCTTTCAGCTCTCGGAGAGGACGAAACGAAGGGAGGAGGAGATGGTCGAAAGAAGAGGAACGCGGATAAAAGGCGGGAAAGAGAGAAAAAGAGAGAGAGAGAGAGAGAGAGAGAGAGAGAGAAGAGGTCGCTCATTTTCTCCTCTGCCTCTCGTTCCCTCTATCGGAGAGGGCTCGCCACGCACTCTCTTCTCTCGATCTCTCTCTCTTTTTCCAAGACTTCTCCTTGTCCAGCGAGAGCTGGCTGGCCTCCTCCCTCTTCGAGCTTCTCGCTCTTTCGATCCGGAGTCCATCTCCGCTCGTGTACCCGGCGGCACCAGCAGAAGCCAGCTACGGCAGCTTCGCTCCTCTTCGATGTCTGCGTCTGTATACTTTCTCTCTCTCTCTCTCTCTCTCTCTTTCTCCCTGTCTGTCCGTCTTTCTTTCCGTTGGAGCGCGCTCGCGCGAACCAGCAACCGGGAGAATCAATAGCCACGCACGTGTGTCCGTGGCTGTATCGGTGCACGGACCGCTGCTGCCTCCATCTCATCTCGTTCCTTTTCCATTTTCTCCCTCCCTCCTTTCTTTCCTTTTTCCCTCTCTCCTTCCCTAAAATACCTTCTTGTTGCTCTTCTTCCACCGTCTTCTTACTCCGAAGGGTGTCGTTTTTTGCCAGCCGTCGAACGAGCCTCATAGAACCGTCCACGAGGAATCTCCTCCTCCTTCTCCTCTTCCTCTTCTTCTTCTTCTTCTTCTTCTTCTTCTTCTTCTTCTGTCGCCGATAAAAAGCTCGATAAAAGGGGGAGGGGGCCTGTATCACTCGCCGCCATGCCTCTCCACGATCTTTCTCCGGATCGGACAACGAGGGGAGAAGAACAAAGAGGAGGGAACGCGCATACGTAGATGCGTCGGTGAAAGTCGAGTGGAAATCCTTTTTTTCTTTTTTTCCCTTTTTTTCGAGGTAAAAGCGATCGAAGACGTCCAACGTGTTCGGATCCGAGTCCGTAAACCGAACGTAATCGCGCGTGGGGCCACCAGGTGGACGTTTCACCTTGGCCGTGTTCGACCTCGAGAGTCCTCGCGAGGCTCCATCTTCCATGGATATCTCCGCTGGGACATCTCTGTTCGGACATCCTTTTTTTCGCGAGGCGGGAATATAAGTCGGAGATGGAGAAACGATCGAACGAGAGCTAAATCGTCCACGTCCACGGGAGGGGCGAGAGGAGAGGAGAGGAGAATTACGATAATCCACGTACGCGGTGTCCTCCTTCTCCTCGTCTCGCCTCGACTCGAGTCGACTCGACTCGACTCGACTCGACTCGGCGCGGTGTGGACGACGGGCCAACTCCCGGGAATATCCTTCTCAAGGTAGCGGGAGACTGACAAAGAGAGACGCAACGGTGGCTTCATGGCGAGGGACGAGGACGCGTGGATGTCGACGATAACGTGGCTCGGATCCGAGAGTACGAGAGTTTCCACGTCTTCGTCCCACCCGGGAGGCGGAGGACCGGGTATCCTTGTCAAGGTAGCAGGCCAGAGGAAGACGCGCGAGAGACAGGAGGGACAGAGACAGGCCAGGAGACACGATAATGCCGGGTGGCCAAGAGCCCCGGCTGCCTCGTCGATGACTCGATGCTCTGTTTGTGTCCGTGCAGGTCGCCGTAGAGACGCTCGCCCCGTCTCTTTCCCGCGAACGATCGCCCATACTCGCACCCTCCTCGTCCAATCTTGGCTACCTGCGCGCCGGCTATCCTGTTCCCTCCTCCTCGCCTCCCCCTCCACCACCCATTCGCCGCTCGCGTCCTTGTTTCGCGGCCCGAGCTCCTTCTCCCTCTCAGCCTGCACGGATCTCGCAGGAGGCTGAGATGATCGGCGGAGAGGAGGGAAACGAGGAGGGAGAAGGATAAACGGTTAAAGAGGAAGGGGGACGAAGGTATATCGGGCCGAAGGCCCTCTCTCTCTCTCTCTCTCTGTTTCCTTCTCTCTCTGCTCGCCACCACTCCTTGGTACCTGGTGGCGTACCTATTGCTTGGATTCTCTTCCAAGCGAGAGAGGAGTGGGAGTACGGTCGAGAGAACGCCACAGGTAGAGGCGACGAGAGGGAGCAGGAGGTCGGACGGAGAGGAGAGACCCGAGTCGGAGAAGGAAGGAGCGACGAAAGGAGAGAGATCCGAAATGGGGAGGCGTCGTAGGGTGGCCAGGTAAGAGGACGGACAGAGAAAGAGAGAGAAAGAGAGAGAGAGGCGGCGAAGGAGATTCGGGAGCGAGGGAGGAAGAGAGAGAGAGAGAGAGAGAGAGAGAGAGAGAGAGAGAGAGAGAGAGAACGTGCGAGCGCGCGCGTGTGTGTGCCGTGAAAACGCACGGTCGAGGGATAAAGAGAGGCGAGGCAGGCGGTTTTGTACGGGGACGTGTGTGTCGAAGGAGAGAGAGAGAGGAGAGGGGGGGCCCCGAGACACGGAGCCGAGAGCGGGATGCTGGGAGGCGGCGGCGACGGCGGCCATGTTGCCGTATCCCGAGAGAAGAGAGAACGATCCGAGAGAGCACCGTGAGGCTGCTTCGTTTGTTGCTTGCAGCGGCTGCCCAAACTTTGGGTGGTTTAATTCTACCTGTTGGGCCGCACAGTTCGGGGTGTAGTGCATCCGTTCCACCCTCGAGTTCGCTCGGCGAACACGCGCGAGAACAGCGAGAGCAGAGGAAAACGAGAGAGAGAGAGCTCGTGGTGACGAGAGTCTCGCGCGGCTTCGACACGCACCGGACGTCGCTCGATCTCGCCGCGCCGGAGTATAGTACGCTCGCGTCCGCGATCCACGGCGACGATGTCGTCGTGCTTCCCGTACGCGTCGCCGTCCACCACGTCCACCGCGTCCACCGCGTCGCCGTCGCGTTCCTCACCGTCGTTGTTGTCGCGGCCGTCGTCGCGCCCGTCGTCGTCGCAGCCGCGGTCTGCGCGAGCGTGCGCGTGTGCCTGAAGCCGGTGTACAAGTGCGAAGATCGTGGACAGACGATCCGGTTTGGAAAAACCGTTCCCGTGAGTCCGGATCCTCGTGACTCCTCGTCGAAAAGAGGGGTGTGCGCGAAAGGAACGATAGCGCTTGGTGACTGGCTAAGCGGAGCGCGGCCGAGGAATGGACCAGAAACGAGGATAATGAGGTGCGCGGAGTGAATTTTGTGAGTTACGCCGGGTGCTTCTTTGTCTCGCTTCTCTGTCTCACTCCCAGTGAATCCAAGTCCCAGGAGGAAAATCTCGAACGCGAACTTTACGTGTCTGGGATCGCGCGAAAACGGACAGAAAGAAGGAGAGGAGGAGGAGGAAGAAGAAGAAGAGGAAGAGGAAGAGGAAGAGGAAGAGGAAGAGGAAGAACAAGAAGAAGAAGTACAAGAAGAACAAGAAACGATAACTCATCGTGTGTCGAACCGTGCGTGTCGTGATATAAATACAAAAAAGAGAAACAAAAAAAAGAAAGAAAGAAAAAAAGGGCGACCCGCGACAGGGTAGCCCCTGTTCCCGAAGAGAAGGCCTCGAACTGTTCGAAACCGCGAGAGATTCACGCTTGGAACGGGTCGATCCATCGCGAAGGTGGTGACACTATCATCCGTGGAGATGTGATCCGGAACACAGGAGGGACGCTTAGTAGTTTGTAGTTGGCCCCCTCCCCCCTAGCCACCCCACCCCACCAGCACCCTTCGACCTACCACCTACCACCACCGTTTCTCTGCCACCTTTCTTCTACTGCTCTCCACGTACGTACACGTCTACACAAGCGCACCGGCAACCGTCCAACCGTTTCCAGCCACCGGCATCACACCGACATCGACGTCGATCCATCTTCCACAGAATATATCGACTCTCTCGCTCTTTATCTCTTTCTCTTTCTCTCTTTCTTCATCTCTCTCTCTCTGTCTTTCTCCCTCTCTCTCTCTCTCTCTTTCTCTCGTATGCACCCAAGCTTCCTCCAATTCCGATCCTGCGAGATACGCGCGAGATTACCCCCTTCAGATACGCTGTCCTCTCTACCCGAGAGCTCCGACAAAGTGAGTATCTCGTCTAGCCGGCTCTCTAGTTCGATATCTCTTCGGCTATCCACTGTTGACTCGTTTAACCCGCCATCTCTACCGTCGACCTCTTCTCCGCGGATGTTCACCGGCTACCTGCGCGATGACGCACAGGTGACGCGCAGGTGAGCCGCCGGTAAACAAGCCGATGACGAGGACAAGTGGGATCATCCGGTTCGCGTTTCTTTTCTCTTTTTTTCGCCTCTCATTTCGCCCTCATTTTTTTATCATATATTTTTACTATGACCAATCTCTCTCTCTCTCTCTCTCTCTCTCTCTCTCACTCTCATTCTCTCTCCATCTGGCCATGGCGATAGTTTCCATTCGATAGGTATATAGGTATATAGAAGGATTACGTAAAAACGTCTACGCGCACGTTAGACTGGTAAAAACGGCCTGTCTACCGTATTGCACACCGATCGGTATACGCGTTCCCGGTGAATGGAAGACTCGCGAATATATAATTGGTTTAATGGTGGCCGCCGCTAATGGAATCGCGCGTAACCGGCAAACGCGTTTCCCCCTTCATGTTTCGTACGAACGCGATGCTCGGCATCGAGCCGCGTCCATCGAGGCATTTGGAGAACATTCTCGAACGGTCCACGTCGTTGCACGCTTCGCCTTCTTGCGTTTCTCCAACCCCCCTCCCCCTTCCTTTGTATATATATATATATATATATATATATATATATATATACATGTGCCTGCATCTCTCACCGCGGTTCGGACTTACGCAGCTTAGAGAGTACAGACGACACGTGTTATGATCGGTTTGCCCACTACAAACTTCTTCACTCTCGAAACACTGCACGACGAAGAATGTGAGATGTGGTATCCTCCGTAAAGTTGAAAAGGCAGGTAGTAAAAAAAAAAAGAAAAAAGAAAGGAGGAGATGTCGTTCGCAAAAAATATCTCTAAGAAGCTTCCCTTCTTATCTCCTTCTCATTGGATCCATCCGAGAAATGGAAGATAGGCCAGGTCCTCTTCGAAGCGATTATCTTTCTCTCTCTCTCTGTCTCTCTCTTTCTTTCTCTCTCTCTCTTTCTCCCTCGTCGAACCGATATCGGGTCACACTGCATCGAGAGTATCACTGAAATATCACTTTTTATTACGAGCCACGTATCGATTAGAAATAGTCACACGGGAGGCACAAAGAATCGATCCACGTTCTCGCGGAGGAGCTCCTAGGTTCCTCTTGGCGTGGTCCTCGCCGAGTCCTCCGTCTCCGAAGGCATCGTCCACTGACGCGAAGCGAGGGAGTACAGGTACTTGAAATACAAACGGACCCACGGAGGTGGGTCCAATCTGATGCAGGGTTCCCTTTGAGAATCAGGTTAGACCGGCCGAACCTGCTCCTCTGGCTTCTCGTCTCCGGTCCGCGGTTGTATACCGGCTTCGTGTACTACCTACTCCTTCTCCCCGGTCGCCCCAATCTCCTTCTTCCGCGTAGTAGGTAGGCAACCGACCTACCTACTACTTCCCGCCACCCTGTACTCTTCCTCGCCTCGTACCACCACTCGTAGCACCTCTTCCACCCGGCTCCTCTTCCTCGCCGATCACCTCAGAGGACCGCCACCTTCCGGTCCTCCTCTGCCTTCGGATCGAACACGGGAACTTTGGACGAGAGACTGACTGATCCAAGAGACGGGGAAGTCTCTCCTCCTGTCCTGACGGTTTCTCGCCTAGGCCTAGGAGGAGAGTCTTCTAGAGGAGATCGAGCCCGTTCTATTATTACCAGACACCTGTCCACGTCCGTCAGACGTCGGTCGGTCGGTCGGTCGGTCGGTCGGTCGCGGGTTGGATTCCAGTTTTAACGCGGCCTGCCCTCCTTCTTCCTTTGCCGGCTGCCACACGCGCCGGTAGTAGTAGGAGGAGATGAACGAGCCGGGAGAAGAGGGAACCCAACTGGTTTTACCGACTGTCCACCTGGTGGACAAGGCGACGAGGACGCAAGGGCCCGAAGACGTGGAATTCGTGGTGTCCGACTGGTTTGGCCAACATCCACGGATTCCCTCTGCCCGTGCACGTGATAACTGAATCAACCGAGCCATCGAACCTGCTATTCCGCCTCGAATCCGGCTCTCTCTCCGCTTCGGATCCGCGGCTACTACCGCGTTCGCCCTACCCCGATGGCCTTCCTGATTCCGACCGATCTCGTTCTTCCGCCTGGACGTCACAACCTGACTTGCCAGGGCAAAAATGCGGCTCCAGCTTCCTGTTCTGACCGACTTCTTCTTCTTCTTCTTCTTCTTCTTCTTCTTCTTTCTGTCTCTTCTTCTTCTTCTTACTTCTCGATAGCGAGTCGAGAGGCCGGTTCGACCGCTCGATTCAATCGTGTTGTTGTTGCTGTTGTTGTTGTTGTCGTAGTCGTGGTGGTTCAACCGCCAGTTCGGCTTGTTCTCGCGGTCGACGTTTAGGGAACGGGACTCTTCTATCCGAAAGGAACGTGTTCCAGACCAGACGGGAGCCTTTTCACTCTCGTCCACCTGATTGGTTGTTGTTGGCCGCCCGACCGTCTGTCTTCGACGCCGGTTTATTACACCTGTCTATCAGAGCCGCGACCGCGAAACCGTTTCCAGTTTGACGTGCTTGTAGCCGGTTGAAATGAATGGAGGAGAGGCGAACCAGCTGGTCCCACTGATTGCACGGTTGCGTAATCGTAAACGCGATGGAACGACGAAGAGTAGTAGGATTCGAGATTAGATTTAATCCTCTTCTTGGGGGGGCCGGGATGCGAATAGATTTCCGAGCGAAGAATATCTATCGAGAGTGAAAGTTGCTCTCGAATAATTGTTAATTTTTACTCTCCGTTCCCCATTCGCAACGGATACTCGATTGAGAGAATACTCTTGACATTTTTTTATCTCTTATCGAACTCGTATTTCGTATCTTTGTGAGAATGAAAAATAAGTAGAGCTTCTTTGATTCTTTTACACGAACGATGATACGAGAGCAATTTTCTTCGGATGAAATTAAAAAATTTTAGAATACGCTTCTTTTCTCTCCTTGCGTTTTTTATTTCTATTAATAATTTTTGTTCTTTGAGGAATTAAAGAGTTATTTTTTTTTTCTCGTTTTTGTTGATTTTCAGATCCCGATTGCTCCTCTTCCCACACGTTTCAATCAAGTGCCATACAACGCTCAGCAGAAGACTGTGATACGCAATTTATCTATGCCTAGAATCCGTTCGTTCATCACGTAGACGATATTAGAAACGATATTAGTCGAACAAGATCGAAGAAGAGTGGTAGACTCTCGGTGGGGTTACACCACGTCGACAAGAAACGCCACGATTAGACGAACTGGAAAGAGAAGTGGAAGACTGCGAGGGAGAATGTCGACTTGCACCGACGAGGCCGACAACGCACCCCTGCACATGCAGGAGGCTCTATCCCCGGTTAGTCATTATTTCTTTATTCTTCTATAATTTCAAAATTAATTATAAATCGGTAAACAGAAGTACTAAAGTATTAGCTTGTTTAGAAAAACTTAAAACTTGATCAAATTTTTCGCTTCCGAATAATTAATATATCTCGTTCGTTTTAAAAATTCCATTCGATTTAAAAATGATTTTCTCCATCCCCCATACACTTAAGAAGGAGTGAGACAAGCAAGGAGGATGAAAGATCTCGATAAGACGCTTATTACTGATGCGTCGTAAATCCGGGTCGGTGTAAATATTGTTGAAACGCATTGGGCGAGGTGTGGTGTTCGGTGGAATATGTGTGTACGTGATTTAACGATGGACCGTGCACCATCCACGCCCCCTTCGATTTCGACAATTCACGGAATGCGATGGAACACTGGTTCACGGGTTTCTTCTCGTGTGTGGGTCATCGTTTGACCTTCCTCCCTTTCTCTTTCCTCGCTGGCTCTCCCCCTCTCCCCTCCCCTCCCTCCTCTCTTTCTCTCCTTCTACCGTTTCGTCGGTGTACCACCCGTTGCGTGAAATAACGAGAATGGCGGACCCGACGAGATTATTGCCAGGTTGCGTTGTTTCCAACGTTGGAACTTCTGGAAGACGACCCTGAAACGTCCAATGATGGACGAGGGATTACATTTCGTGGTATCGAGAAAGATACTCGATATCTTTTGATTTGAGAAAATCAATCAAAAAAAAAAAAAAAAAAAAAAAAAAAATTATGGAAAAATATCGTTTCTCTTCTTGATTCGATTAATAGCTGTGGTTAATTTGTATTCATGATCACGTTTTATTCTTGATTGGACGATTGATTTTGATTAGAAAAAAAAAAAAAAATCAATCAATGGAAGAATATTGTTTTATTTATTGGTTTCCATCGATGCGGTTAATTCGTGTCCACGTTTCTCCATTCTCTTGCGGCTATATACATAGGTGTTGGCCGCCTCGTAACATGGCAACACGGCAGACAGATTGATTTTGGTCGGAAATATTGTTGGAAGAGAGTAAAACGCTCCAAGATACGTTGACCCCTGCTAGTCACGCTGTTGTTTGCTTTTACGAAGAAGAAGAAGAAGAAGAAGCTTCTCGGGTCCTCTTGGCGCGAGAAAAGGTGCGTCATAGATCGTGAACGCCGCTTTCACAAAGAATTTTCGGTCCTCTGAGAATTATTTCTCTAAAGGCGCGTAGGAAGACGTATGGACCGCTCGATGTGTCGAGGAATTTTAATATTTTTGGTTACTTTTGTCTTGTTCCTATTAAATTCAGGTTGGATATAATTTTATTAAAAAAAAAAAAAAAAAAAAAAAAAAACATTTTCGTTACGAATATCTCGTGTCGATAAATAAAAATCAATCCTCAATATTAAATTTCCATTAACCGGAGGAGCAAAGATAAAGAGCAGAAGACCTTTAAAATAAAATACAAGAACTTGTAGATCCAGCATCGATATGACGTCAGTCCAGGGCCCCATTTCTAAACGAATTCCAATGGCTTATCGGGTTTAAGGTGATGTGTATATCGTATCTCTCAGGCCACTCCTCGCCGAGAAGCCCCGAGAAAAGATCTTCACTGTCACCTGGCCGCAGGTTTTTAACCTGACAATAATATTATACCTGTTGCTTAAAAGTGAAACTCTGTAGGAGGACGAAAAGGCCGTTATTTGCGTGGCGTTGTTCCACAATGGGAAAAGATCATCGCGCGTAAAAACTTTTGGCTCGCCCTAAATATCTAATGGGCGCCCTTTGGGAGGTTCCAGGAGAGGGGGAAGGGGGACGTTATCCCCAAAATCCTCCCGTGGAATTATTACGCTTGATCTCGTTCGTGAACACGGTTACACGATTCATGGTAATGGGATGGAATTCGAGTCGTTGCGTCTCGAGAATTTGACATTTTTTTTTTCTCTCTCTTTATTTTTTCTCCCTTCTTCTTTATTTTGAATAAAATAACGAACGATCGAAAAATTTGATTAATCGAGCGTAGAATAAATCCAACTTTTCTCTCGTAACTCGATTTGCAATATATATATATCACGATTCACAAATTGTGTCTGAAATTATGTATAAATTAATGGATAGAAATTGTTTCGCTTTTTAAACGCGAAAATATTCGACGTGACGTAGAATGTTTTAGAAATACGTACGTACGTTTCTTTCTTTTTCTTTTTTTTTTTTTTATAAATTAATTGTTCTTATCACGCCCATTCAATTATTTACATTCTTTAAGTTAATTTTCCGTTTAAGGATTCAGATAATTCGATTATTGTTTTTTTCCAAGCTCGCATTAATTACAATGATTTATTACTACTGGCTTGCGCACGTAGCATTTTATTGCCCATAAAAATAAGAGGCAAATGCAAACAAACAGGCGTTAAACCGTTTACTAGCATCGGTTATGATATCTAACATAACGCAAATTTATTTGGATTTTTTTCTAACCCGAACACACTTGGTTAAAACGCGATAAATCAAATCTCTTTTCAAAGTTAAATTTAATTGAAAAGAAATTTAATTAAAAATTCATAAAAATTTTCTTTTATATAATACGATCGGGGAAGGGGGAGAGAAAGAGAGAGAGAGAGAGACAAAATTTTCCATCCAACGATGAGAATCCCATCGTCTTCCAACATTCTTTCGCGAAGGCGAAACGGTACGTACGTACGTCGTACGTACGTACGTACGTCCATTCTCGTGTAGCCACTTGTGGCCACGAACCAAGGAGAAATGAAGGAGGAAGAGAAGGAGGAGAAGGAGGTGGAGGAGAAGGAGGAGGTGGAGGTGGAGGAGAAAAAGGAGGAGGAGGAAGATTTTGCTGCGTACGATGACTCGCCGGATTTCACGTATACCTGATACTTGGGACGAAGGGAAGAATGCTCGTTCGAGGATCGTGCTATTCATTGTCCAAGTAATCGTCGGGGACCACTTAATAGAATTCGTCGGGACTTCCAATTCTAATTTTTTTTTTTTTTATCCCATCTCTTCTTTGGAAGGAAAACCATCGAGAAATATTTTTGTTTCTTTTCGCGTGAAGTGAATTTTTTTTTTAAAAAGGGGGTAGATAATTCAATAGAATAGATATAATTTTGTAGTAATTTCGGGAATTTTTAGAGAAATTTGGAACGTAGAAAAATTTCTTGAATGAAATCTGAAGAAGAATAATTAATTGCGCAAGACGCGTAATAAAAAGTTCTTTTAAGAAAGATTTGATAAATCTGAATAATGTAAAAATCCGTGGGAATAGGAATGAAAAATTTAGTAAATGGAGGAAGTAGGATAGTAGTGAAAACGTATTATAACAGAGACGACTTTGACGTCTAGTAAAATACACAACTGATGAAATCAACCGATGGTGAGGATCGTTCCAAAAGGATTATGGGGGCAACTGATTACTTTTCCCCTGGTAAAAAACGTCGCTCTAACCGTTCTGAGTAGTGTATAATGGGAATGGAATAATGGTAGCAAGAAACTTAGCGAGAGTTGTTTGGAGATATCAATCAAAGATAATGGCGGTGGAAGAATTTTTGTTTCTTTCTCGGCTACCAGGAACACGACGTATCTGTGATATTGTGAAAAAAAAAATATGATTTATTGCTGTGTACACACTGTAAGGATCCACGGTACACGCGATAATTATATGAACAGTATCTTAGTGTCAACAATAATGCACGCTTCTTGTTCTTAAATTGTGATTGATGACGTACAACAATAAGATTTCAAAGAACGAAAGAGATTACGAAACCCTTTGGATTATCACTGATTTTCCATTCCAATTTTACATTCTAAACATTTTGAATATTTTTTTTTATCCGGCTTGTTCTTCGGTTTTCAAAAAGAAAGCTTGAGTCGAATTACGTTGAAATTCTTTAATTTTCCAATCAATTGTTTCGAATTATGAAAAATTTCTCAAACAACATTTGAATTGAAAACAAAACGTATGATTAGAATTTATAAATGTTCAAACTTTTCTACTCATTTCTCGACTCTTCTTCGAACCTCGATTATTATCAAATTTCCAAAATATTCACCATATTCACAAACACATTAAATATTCCAACATAAATTCCGCTCGTTCCATAAATCCCATAAATCCTCCACTCCTCGATTCGCCGCATACCTCATCCCCGTCCAATACCAAACTTCCAATTCTCGAAGGAAAGAAAAAAAAAAAAAAANNNNAAAAAAAAAAAAAGAAAGAAAGAGAGAGAAAATTCTGCAATTCCTCGGATCGTAAAACGAACCGAAAAGGATCTGCATAAAGCGTAAAGTGAAATAGCGGGCATGTTTACTCGAAAAAGAGAAAAAAAAGAGGAATAAACGATGGAGATATTATGATACGATCGTCGACAAGCGTTCCTAGCAATTCCATTTAACTCGCCTGCGGCCATGTTGCATGCGATACAACCGAGAGAGAAGAGAAGTAAAAAAGAGAGAGAGAAAGAGAGAGGGAGAGAGAGAGAGGGAAAACGATAAAAAAAAATGTATCACGAACAATCACACAGATATTTTCATGATTACCGTGAGTGGAAATAGCGACAGGAAGTCGCTGGGCGTACGAATGTACAGACTATAACTAATAATTATTTCGGATCATAGGCGTGTCACGCGTTTCGTTGTTCAACTCGCAGCCTCGATTAAACGCGGATCCACATTCTTCACGACTAATAAACAATTATAAACAATTATGAGAGTCGTTGGAAAGGCTTGGAATCGAACGTTGATCGTACAATGATTTTCCAGGGCAGCGTAACTGTTAATTGAACGTTTCACGGAGGCGAAAAAAATTATTTTAATAGAAGCTGCGCTGGATTATGGCTGACATATATAGCTATACGATAGAGCCGAGGATATTTTTGTATCGCGTACTTACATTTGCACTTCTAATTAAAGCCTACGCACTTATCTGATCCCTGGAAATATTTATCCTATAATCCGATAATGCGATCAGAATCGAAAGAACTAATTATCGATAATTAGAAATAA